TGAAGAAGGGTCACCGGACCCAAAACGTTAACTCTGTTTTTTCCTTCACAGATGCTGCCAGACCTGCTGAGCTTTTCCAGCAACTTTGTTTTTGTTCCTGATTTACAGTGTTTGCAGTTCTTCTGGTTTTTATTCACAAATTAAATATGACAGGAACAATGACCTTTTCATGACAACTATGTGAATCTTTTCCAAAGTAATGAAGATTTGAATGTCATTTTTTGAATTTATGAGACCAGGTCAAAGAAAGCATCATAGCCACACTGAACCAGACTTTAGTTTTGCAGATCTGTCTTTGTATTCATTTAAAGAGAAATATGTCTGATGTTACAGTATATTAATAAAAAGACTGCACTTCCTACCTTAGCTTGAGGGCTAACCCCATATTTTGTTAATGCATACTGCCATTGGGGCAATCCTAAGTGAACAAGCATAAGTCGATAGTAGGCTGTGAACGTATCTGATAGAAAATGCCAGTAAAGTGCTCTGTCCAAGAACCAGATTTCTGCATGAGAAGATACAACTCCTGTTGAGGAAAAATGTTAAGCTTAAAGAATCAGAAAGAAAACTTTAAAAGCTTTCTTATCCTGCATATGTTATATATTGACCAATTCAGGTGTTAAGTTAGGGAGAATAGAAATAAAACTGAATAGCAGTAAATAATAAAAATTGTTGTAATGTTATACCTGCAATTGCTACTAATACCTTAGATGCTGACAACTACAATTACAGGAAACCATAAACACATTTGGAAAAATTTTTAGTGGGTTATCACATGTTTTGATATGAAAAGTAGCTCTTATCAGTAATAACAACCAAGTCAACTTCACTTTCTCTCTGCTTCTAGACTACTGTGATTTTGAAAAACAAGAAGGTATTTTCCTTACTTTGCAATTGGTGCTACTGTGAATACTGTTTGTAGAGTGGTTTGAACACTGGTAGTTCTAAACCTTTTCCTTGGCATGCACCATTCTGAATCATTCCCTCAGCCTCTGAATGCCAAAAAACAGTTTATGATAATATTGGGCTTTAAAATTATGCTTGACAAGGAACTAATCTCATAATGAGGCAAAAAAAAAACCTCACACAACAGCACTTAAGGTAGATTGGAAACTACTGCTGTTTTACAGCAGACAGCAAAGTGAAAATACAAACAAAGGGAACTTTAAATAAATGAACCAATCTAAAACTGACTTGCTTTAAAACTGTAAATATAAATATGATAATTCATTTAATTTTATAGTCTGTCCTTCTCACAGCATGGAAAAATTCCAAGTTTTATATCTTCTACAAACTTTGAAATTCTCCCTACACATCATGATCTGGATCAGCAAAATATTTCAGGAAAGCAAAGGTCCCAATACCAATTTAGGGGGAACCCCACTATAAACGTTCCTTGACCATTACTCTCTGTTTCCTATTACCCATCCAATTTTGTATCCACATTGCGACTGTCTCTCTGTTCTAGGAGTTATAATTTCTCTCATGGCTCTGTTGTGTGGCACTGTAACGATGCCTTTTGAAAGTCTGCATACACCACATCAATTGCGTCACGCTCAACAAGCCTTTCTGTTACCTCTTCAAAACATGCCAAACCTGACTTCGTCTTCAGAAATTCATGCTGGCTTTTCATAAACAAGCTACGTTTTTCTATGCGACTATTAACTCTATCCTGAATAGTTGTTTCTAGAAGCTTCCCTACTACTAAAGTTAAACTGACTGGTTTGTAATTGCTAGGCTTAATCTTACAAATTTCTTGAACAAAGATGTAAAGTTTGCAATTCTCCAGTTCTCTGGTACCTCCCGAGAGTTTAGGGAAGATTTAAGATTTGGCCAGTGCCCTTACAATTTCCATTATCACTTCGTTGACCATCCTTGATGCATCTCATTCCCAATGCCCTGTCAACTTTATGTTGCGATAAACTTTCCAACATCACCTCCTACCAATTCTAAACCCTTCTCACAACAGGGGTTCCTCCTTGGCAGCAAATATGTCTTTGGTAAAGACAGATGCAGAGTATACATTTAATACCTGAGCCATGGCTTCTGTCTCCATGTGTAAATCCTTTTTTGGCTTCCAATTAGCCCTACTCCTCTTATCAAACTTTTATTATGATGTGGTGATAGAAATTTTTAGGATCCTGCTTTATGTTGGCCACCAGTATTTTCTCACTATCCCTCTTTTCTTCTCTGATTATTTTTTCATCTCCCCTCTGAACCTTCTGTATTCCTCTTGGCTGTCTCCCTCTTGCATAATTTTTCCAGCCATGTATTCATCTGACTTATTCTTCTGTCTCTGTGCTTGCAAATGGCACTGGGAGTAATCCAGAGGTTGCTACCTTTGAGGTAGCTCCCTATACCTTTCATTACAGGACCACATTTTCCTCCCAACGCAAGTGTTTGATACCGAAGTAAATCACGACTTCTGGCTGTTCACCATCGCAGAAGAAGGTTTTCTGAATGCCACTCTGAGACATCTTTGACAGTGGCACCTGGAAAGCATTATACCATCCACAAGCAGTAGATGTTGTCTACATGGACTTTTGTAAGGCCTTCGACAAAGTTCTGCATGGTAGACTGGTTTGCAAGGGGGACGTAGACAACTGGATACAAAATTGGTTTGATGGTAGGAGACAGAGGGTGGTGGTAGAGGGCTGTTGTTCAGAGCAGAGGCTTGTGACCAGCAGTGTGCTGCAAGGTTTGGTGCTGGCTCCATTATTATTCATCATTTATATAAACAATTTGGATGACAAGACTGGAGGCATAGTTAGTAAGTTTGCAGATGACACCAAAATTGGTAGCATCGTGGACAGAGGGTTATCTAAGAGTACAACGGGATCTTGATCAACTAGGCCAGTGGGCCGAGGAATGGCAGATAGAAATTAATTCAGATAATGCAAGGTTAGTTTTCGTAAGACAAACCAGGGCAGGACTTACAAATTTAATGGTCAGGCCCTGGGGACTGTTGTCAAGCAGAGAGACCTAAGGGGTTCAGGTACATAATTCTTGGAAGTGGCATCACATATAGACAGGGTGGTGAAGAAAGCATTTGGCACGCTTGCCTTCATCGGTCAGAGCATTGAGTACAGGAGTAGAGATATCAGGTTACAACTGTACCAGACATTGGTAAGGCCACATTTGGAGTACTGCATACAATTCTGGTCACCCTGCTATAGAAAGGATGTTATTAAACTAGAAAGTGAGAACCTTTTTTCCTGGAGCGTAGGAGGCTGAGGGGTGATCTCATAGAGGTTTATAAAATCACAAGGAGCCTAGATAAGGTGAATAGTCAAGGTCTTTTCCCTCGGATAAGGGAGTCCAAAACTAGAGGGTATGGATTCAAGGTGAGAGGGGAAACATTTAAAAGGACCTAAGGGGCAACTTTTCATAGAGTGTGGTATGTATATGAAATGAGCTGCCAGAGGAAGTGGTACAGGTGGGTACAATTACAACATTTTAAAAGACATTTGAACAGGTAAATGGACAAGAAATGTTTAGAGGGATATGGGCCAAACTCAGGCAAATGGGACTAGTTCAGTTTAGGGAACCTGGTCAGCATGGACGAGTTGGGCCGAAGGACCTATTTCCGTGCTGTGAGTCACTTCTGTGGTACAGAAATGCCTGTCTGTTCCTCTAACTAACTAAGCTCCTATCACTATTGCTTCTTTTTTCTTCCTCCCCTCTTGTTTAGCTGAACCACTGTGATGTCACAAACTTGGCTCTGACTGGACTCCCTTAAGGAATTAGCTCCCTTACCATCTTCAAAAATGGAAAACCGAGCAAGACCCTAGGGAACTCTTCCATTACCTGCCTGTTTATCTTCTATTGCCTGACAATCACCCATCCTCTTTGTACCACCAGACTCTCAAGATGCGATGTGACACCTCTCTAACTGTGTATCCACTTGACACTTAACCTTTTGGATATATCACAGTGACTCTTGCCACCAGTCAAGCTCAGAAAGTTGGAGCTCAAGTTTCTGGCAGCAGGGTTCTGGTAGCATTTCCTGCCTGTGGTTGTCTACGACACTGGTTACATCTAGAACTTCACACTTTCCACTCTACTGGGCTGAGCTGACATATCTTATAATCATTTCCCTTAATTAACTTTACTCTGCTTTGGATTACTTATATTACTTCATTATATTGGCCTCAATTTTCTCTTATTTGTTTCTGTGATTCTCAGTTAAATCGAAGCATAGTTACTTCTTTAAAAATAGTATGCTTTCCTTATTTACAGCAACTTAAATACAATCCCCGACTGCTTGGCCTGCTGTGTTCATCCAGCCCTGCACCTTGTTGTCTCACAATCCCCGACAGCAGTTTCTCACCAAAGACTTTATGGAATATCTGCAATGTCACCCTTGTTTTCTTCATTCTCTTTCAAACTCAGTGCAGGCCTGTTCCAAATAGCTAAATGACACGCCTCTCCGACTACCAGGTAAGTGTTGTTGGCCTCGAGGGTGGCCCACGATTTCTAGCCTTTTGCTCCAAACTGCTCACTTGTAGGTCTTACACTTCAATTCCCAAATGTTTCTTGATGATTCTTTGCTTAGATCACTATAACATGTGAATTTGGAACATGTACTTAGCTGTGATGTCACTCACAGACCTTTTACACCTCCCTTGATGCTGTTTTATCTGGTGTCCAATCTCTCATGTGATTTTAGGTACTGAAGAATATTTTGGTCCTCCTCTCTCCCTCTCTTCATAAAAACAGCTTTTTGGGAATTGTGATTACAATACATAGTATTAATGTGAACTTTGTGCAAATAATTATCTCTTTTCATCTTTTTAGGATGGTAGCCAGTGATTCGTCCTTTATTCATTCACGGGATGAGGGCGTCACTGGCTAGGCCAGCATTTATTGCCCATTGCTAATTGCCTAGAGGGCAGTTCAGAGTTAACCACATTGCTGTGGGTCTGGAGTTACGTGTAGGCCAGACCAGGTAAGGAGGGCAGTTTCCTTCCCTAAAGGACATTAGTGAACCAGATGGGTTTTTCCCAACAAATCGGCAATAGATTCATGGTCATCATTAGACTCTTATTTCCTTTGTGGAGTTCCACAGGGGTCTATTTTGGGACTACAACCGTTCATGTTACAAATTATTGATCTGGATTAAGGAAGTGAGGTCATTATTGCTAAGTTCGCAAATGTGTTATTCATTCAAGTTATTATTCACATTCATTGCAATCTTCAGCTAATACAGTGTGTATAGAAGCTTCTGTTGAGTGTCTTCCAACAGAAGAAAGATGACAAGAAATTTGAAATCACTGGATTTGAAATGCTAACTGATGCTGCCAGACTGGTGAATTTCTCCAGCAATTTCTGCTGTTGAATAAGAACATAAAAACTCGGAGTAGGAGTAGGCAGTTTAGCCCCTTGAACTTGCTCTGGCGTTTAAGAGATCACTGCTGATCTCATCTCGGCCTCAACTCCTTTTCCTGCCATCCATAACTCTTCAACCATTATTAAGTAAAAATCTGTCTCTCTCCTCCATAAATTTACTTAATGTCCTGTATTCACAAAGGAAAGGGATGATGTAGATATAACGATCCAAGAGGAATAGTGTGAAATATTGGACAAAATAATCATAATAAGAGGAAGTGTTTGAAAAGTTGGAATCCTTGGAAGTGGATTAGTCACCAGGGCTGGACAGATTGCTCCCTAGGACATTGAAGGAGGTCAGGGAGAAAATAACAGATTCTCTGAGGATTATTGTACAATCTTCACCAGATACAAGTAAGGTGCTAGTGGGCTGAAGGAATGCAAATGTGGTTCTGGTGATTAAAATGGGTAAAAAAGAAAATGCCAAACAATCATAGGCGAGTTAGTCTTACTTCGGTGGTGGGCAAATTGTTAGAATCAATCCTGAGAGATCAGATAAACTGCCACTTAGAAAGGCATGGCCTAATCAGGGATATTCAGCATAGTTTTGTTAAGATTTGATTGAATTCTTTGAGAATGTGACAAGGAGGATTGATGAGGGTAATGCAATGGATGTTGTCTATATGGATTTTAGTAAGGCATTTGACAAGGTCCCATGTGGCAGACTGGTCAAAAAAGTAAAAACCCATGGGATACAGGGTAATGTGTTGAAATGGATACAAAGTTGGTTTAGTAACAGGAAACAAAGGGCAATCGTCGACGGCTACCCTTATGAATGGAAAGCTGTTTCAAATGGTGTTCCACAGAGTTCGGTGTTGGGGCCCCCGCTATTTGTTGTATACATTATTGATTTTGACTTGGACATGGGGGTGGGGGAGTGTCTGTGTTGTCAGTCGGGGGAATTGGGAAATTTATAGATGGCACAAAAATTGGCCATGTTGTGGATTGTGTGGAGGCTAGCTGCAAATTCCAAAATGATGTAGATGGATTGGAGGAGTGGGCTGGAAAGTAACAGATGAGGTTCAACTCTGATAAGTGTGAGGTGATGCATTTATGAAGGTCAAATAGTTAAAGGGAATATGTAATAAACAGGATCATACCCGGAGGGATAGGAGAAGTGAGTGATCTTAGCAGGCAAGTGCACAGGACCCTAACGGTAGCAGTACAGGTAGAAAAGGTTGTAAAGAAGGCATTTAGAATGCTTTCCTTCATTGATAGAGGTATAGAATACAAAAGTAGGGATATAACGATGAAACTGTATAAGACAGTGGTGAGGCCACAACTGAAGTAACTGAGTGCAGTTCTGGCCACATTATAGGTCGCAATTACTCTGGAGAGAGTGCAGAGAAGATTTTCTAGAATGGTTCCAGGGCTGGACAACTGTAGTTATGAGGAGAGACTGGAGAGGTTGGAAGTGTTTTCCCTGGATCAGAGAAGGCTGAGAGGTGACACAATTGAGGTATACAAAATTGTGAGGGGTAGAGATAGGAACCTGTTTCCTTGGCAGAAAGTTCAAATAGTAGGGATCATAAATTCAAGCTAAGTGGCAGAAGGATTAGACGGACCTGAGGAAAGACGTTTTCACGCTGAGGGTGGTGGGTATCTGGTATGCGCTGCCTGAGTTGCTGGTGGAGGTAGAGACCCTAAAACTCTGTAAAAACACGCACCTTAAGTGTTGTAACCTGCAGGGCTATGGGCCATTTTCAGGAAAATGGGATTAGAAAAGGCATCTGGGTGCTTTTGGGTCAGCATGGATAAGGTAGGTCAAATGGCCCTCTTCTCTATTGTATCATTCTACGGTAGCTGGACCTCTAGTTAGTGTGGTGCTGATGGACTGTTTTGCAGGGACCAGTTTTCCAACATTCTATTGTTCAGCCTTTGTATCTAAACTTTATCAACAAATCTTCTCTATGGCATCTCATCAAATGCATTTTGCAAATTCACACACACAGTCCCCACTGCATTTATTCCATGTTCATTATTTCTGTAAATCTCAGTTAGGTTGTCAAACACAATTTCATTTTGTAATTCTATGTTCGCAGTTCTTAATGCTTTTCTAGGCTTTATCCTGTTTTGTGGCCTCTGGAAGCCAACGTACCCCTTAATGACACTGAAAGACAGTTATACAGGGCTGACTTGTCTTGGATACCTCAAAATGGAGCTCCAGTACAATAATGTCCAAATTGTCCTGTTTTTTTCTTTTACTATTTGGTCTTTCAGTTCCTCCCCTACATAATAGTACATTTATTAATACAGTTTTGAAGAATACACTGTTAAAATTTGGCAAATGCAGCAGTTTGGGAGGTCTCACAAACAGCAATATAATAATTGCAGATGCAACGTTACTTGAGAGATGAATGTTGCCTTGTACACTGGGAAGAACTGGCTGGCTCTTCTTTGCAATAGTGCCATAAGATCGTTTATGTTCATTTGAACAGTAAGTACCGTCTCAGTTTATTCATCTCAGAAATAGCACCATAAACAGTACGGCCACTCCATTTCTACGAGCACTGGTGTGTCACATGGATTTTGTGCCCTAGTTTCTCGAGTGGGACTTTAATCTACAACGTTCTGATTTGGACAAAAGCTCTGACACTGCATGTTAGTTAACACTAACAGAGCATGGAATGAGAAGACATTGGTTTTAATGTCACGATGATTGCATTTACCTCAAATATCAGAAGCACAAAAGCGGATAGAGAGGACTAATACTTAGTCATTTTATCTGAGACTACACAGCTTCTACTAAATGATCCTCGACTGCCATTTAATTGTCTTATTGTAAAGGCAATTATCATAATTTAAAAACAATTATGATGCTTATGTTTACCCACATTCATCAGACTAAAAAAATACCTGATTGGATGTTTTTGTAAACCAGGCAGACTTTGCCATTTCCATTGCAGCAATCCAGTTCAAATATTCGATATTTCGAATTAAAATGGGGTTTTTCCAAAGACTCTTCTTTACCTTAAAAGAAAGGAATATAATAAAACCTATCAAATATGATATTGAATTTATTTGAATCGTAGGTTCACATGATAAATGCTATCTAATTGCAAATGTAGCTTTATTTTGAAGAGTCAGTAAGAAAGCACTGATATAATTTCTCACACAAGAATAGAAAACAGAAAGATCTTGAACAACTTGACTGTGAGCCAATTTTCATGATTAGTTAAACAATTGCCAATGTTTGTTTGGCTTTGATCTTAACCCAAATCTATTTTTTATAACTGGCCTCTACTATCATCTTCCACGTACCTCTTCTAGGATACCTGCAACTAATTACCCCATAAACAAGACCAGTTTGGTTTATCACAATAGTATAAAAATTATTGCAATATTAAATTCCTCTGTCTACTATTTTAAATAAAGGCATAAACTGTCGAAGAAAATTTTGTGAACTAGTCTTGATTACTCAGAGATTGGATGTCATTCCAAAGGGAAATTCATAAGCTAATTTCACATCCAGTTGAAATTATCCCATCACTAGTACGCTCACACCTTTGGATTTAGTATTAAATTCTAAAACTGTTGAGGACAACAGTGACAGATTAAGGCTATACTGTACTTTATCCTAAAGCATTAGTTATTCTATGCAGAAGTAATCTGAACATGGATTCACCTGAATTATACCGGGTTTTTGTTTCATGTGTTTTTGCTTTGTCATGCGATAGCATCACCAATAACTTGTGAGGTTGTGAGTGGAGTTGTACATTGTAACAAATACGATCATAAGACCATAAATTATAGGAGCAGAATTAGGCCATTTGGCCCATCAAGTCTACTCCACCATTTGATCATGGCTGATACTTAAACAATTCCATTCTCCTGCCTTCTTCGCACGACCCTTGATTCCCTTACTGATCAAGAATCTATCGACGTCTGTCTCAAATACACTCAATGATGTGGCCTCCACTGCCTTCTGTGGCAATGAGTTCTATAGATTAACCACCTCTGGCTAAAGAAATTCCTCATCTCAGTTCTAAAAGGTTGTCCCTTCACTCTGAGGCTGTGTTTCCTATGAGTGGAAACATCATCTCCACATTAACTCTATCCAAGCCTCTCAGTATTCTGCAAGTTTTAATGAGATCGCCCTCTCATCCTTCTAAACTCCAAGTACAGACCCCGAGTCTTCAACTGTTCCTCAAATGACAAGCCATTCATTCCCAGGATCATTCTTGGAGAGGGTGCAGAGGAGGTCTACATCGCCAGCATATCCTTCCTTCGATACAGGGCCCACTGACTCAGTCACTATTAATTCTGTCTGGTTTTTCACTTGTATGTAATAATAGCAACAGCTGATGGATTTAGGTTTCTGACCATTACTGAACACTTTTCTTTTCAAATGTACGGTGTATACAATGCTAGTTTGACATTTTTTCTTGTTTGTGTAAATAACAACATAAGAAGAAACAAAACACATGAAACAAGTGTGAAAGTTGAAATGAATAATTATGATCTAGTAGTCAATAGAGATACGTGGCTTCAGGAAGACAAGGATTGGGATCTGAACCTTGAAAGATACAGGATATTTAGGAATGACAGCAAACTGGGAATTGGCAGATAGCTGACTCTTAGTTAATGAGATAACAAAGTGTGGAGCTGGAGGAACTTTTCTGATTTTTTCTGAAGAAGGGTCTCGACCTGAAATGTCAGCTTTCCTGTTCCTCTGATACTGCCTGGCCTGCTGTGTTCCTCCAGCTCCACTCTGTGTTATCTCTGACTCCAGCACCTGCAGTTCTTGCTATTTTAGTTAATGAGGGCATTCAGACAATAAAGAGAAATACCAAGTTGTGGAAACACTCAAATAAAAGCAAGTATTGCAAATGTTGGTAATCAGAAATAAAATCAAAGTGATGGAGAACCCCAACACCTCTGGCAGCATCTACGGAGAGAAACAAGTTAACATTTTCAGTCTGATATGACACTTCTGGGAGCTGCAGGGGACTGGAGAATGATAGTTTTGTGCTTTTGAAAAAGGGGAATGACAATTGAATGGGACAAATGGGGAGGGTACCCAGAGCAAAAGCCAAATGGTGTGCTAATAGTATTACAGAAACGGAAAAAATTCAGAACACCAAACAGGAGACAGTGTTCATGCTCTGATGTTGTTGACCCTAATATTGAGCTCTGAAGGCTATAAAGTTTCAAAGTGAAAATTGAGGTGCTGTACTTTCACCTTGCATAGGGCTTTGTTGTGGAGCACTACAGCATGAGAGCAAAATAGTATATTGAAATAGCAAGCAACTATTTGTGTAAAAATAAAAAATGATAAAGGCAAGATCTCACTTGCAGGAATAGCGTACAGAAATGGTAACCACGTGAAAGGGTGGAGAATAAAGGGAAAAAAATAATGAAAGCAATGCTGGCTAAAGTGAACTGAAAAACTAAGTTGGGGAAAGGTCAACAGAGATGCAGTACTGGACAATTAAGGGGACTTTTTTTTATAAGACATAATAGATACATTCTAACAAGTAAGAAAATTTCCAAGGCAGGAACCCACCATCTGTGGTTAGCTAGAAAAGTTGAGGATTGTATCAAACGAAAAGAGAAAGCAAATGATTGTGCAAAGACAGCTGGAAAGGTAGAAGGTTGATCAGAGAAAAAAAAATGACAAAAAATTAATGAAGAGAAAACAACTAATAGAACAATAAAAAGCTAGCCAGAAATATAAAAATAGATAACAATTATTAAAATAAATTTCTAAAGAAGAGCTAATAAAGTGAGCATCAGTCTTATAGAAAGTAAGAATGGAGAATTAAGAATGGAAAATCAGGAAATGGCAGATAAATTGAACAAGTATTTTGCATTAATCTTCACTACAGAAGATACAAGTAACATTCCAAAAAAGTGATAAATCAGGAAATAGAAAGGAGGCAGGAATTTGAGAAAAATCAGAGAAATCATAAAGAGCTAATAGTTAAAAGCTTCAGGTTGGAAAATGGCCAAGTTCTAATAAGCTACACCCTAGGGTCTTAGAAGCATTCACTAGTGAAATAGTTGATGCAGTGGCATTAATTTTCCAAAACAGCTTTAATCTGGATGTTAACCTGCACTCCTCATTGAACCAAGGTTGATACCCTGGCTTGATGGTAATGGAGGGGAATATGCCAGGCCATGCGGTTGCAAACTGCCTTGGAGTACTATTCAGCTACTGCAGATGGTGCACAGCACCTTATGGACGTCCAGCCTTATGTTGCTAAACCTGTTCAAAGCTTATTCCATTTAGCACAACAATAGTGTCACATAGCATGATCAAGTGAAAATGGAACTTTGACTTCACAAAGACTGCGCAGCGACCAGTCTTATTGATATTTCTATGGCTTTTGTTGACAACATGCAAATCTTTTGAATAAATTTTCAGTGGTATGCGGTAATAATGAAAACAAATTCAACAAAACTTTAATATTAGTCTGTTTGTTAGTGCATTACACATGATTCTTAAACTCTTCTATATTATCAACTTCAAATGTTATGCTATACTTTGTAGTTCAGCAGCACTAAGAAATAATTTTTGAAACTGTTCTCTGCTTGGTTGCTTATAAAGCATGTGAAATTTATATTCTCATTACAATCAGTTTGAAGAGCTGGAAGTTTTGTTAAAATGAAGTTTTGCCAAGTTGTGAAGGTCTGATATTTACTGAAGTAAATAGATAATTTCCGTGACCCTTCCTCAGAACATACCGGACCTGAAACGTTAACTCTGTTTTCTCCTTCACAGATGCTGCCTGCTGAGCTTTTCCAGAAACTTTGTTTTTGTTCCTGATTTACAGCATCTGCAGTTCTTTTGGTTTTTAAATAGATAATTTATTGGCTTTACATAAAAAATGTGCAATTGTAAGCTTTAAAGGTTTTCAGTAAAAGTAAAGCGAAACAATCCAAGCTTTAAGTTGTTCACGTCAAGTTAAAATGATTATCAAAATGAAAGTAGAATATGTGCTCTCATATCATATTCAAGGGAAAAACCAAGTATACATTTGTTCCAGTAAGATTCTAATTTCAATGTTGGGGAATATAGCATTGTTGTAGAGTAGATTCATAGGAAATAGTGGTCATCACGTTTTTACACTGGCTTGATAGCTACTTGTGGGCCACTGGACCAAGGGTACATTTTACTGGTTGGCTATTTTGGATCAAATCACTTGTAAATACATCTTAGTGCTGCTCTGCACTGCAGCCAATTAAACCTGGAGTATGAAAGTGTAAGGGCATTGACATGACCACATATTGAATACTCTGCCTCAGAAGGTAGCAGAGGCTGGCATCATTGATAAATTTTTGGAAGGAAAGGGAACAATATGTTATTTGGATTAGATAGGAATGTTGAATTTGCAAAAATAGATCAGCCATGATCTTGTTTTGAACAGTGGAGGAGGCTCAAGGGAGTTCAAATGGCCTACTTTCTTCTAATTTATGTGCATGTCCATAAGGACAGTTTTAAAAATTTGTTAATGGGATATAGATCTCACTGGTTAGTTCAGCACTTACTGTCCATCCATAATTGTCTTGGAGAAAATGATGATGGTGAGTGACCACCTGAACTGCAGCAGTCCTTGTGATCTTAAGCACACCCACAGTGCTTGTTAGAAAAGGAATTCCAGGCTTTTGACCAACAATAGTGAAGGGCCAATTATATATGTCCATGTCAGGATGATGTGTGCCTTGGAGAGAAACTTGCAGGTGGTGGTGTATCCAAACAATTGCTGCCCTTGTCCTTTTAAGTAGTAAACGTCACAAGTTTGGAAGGTGTTGTTGAAGGAGGAACAGTAAATTACTACAGTGCATCTTGTAGTTGGTTCACATTATATCCATTGCATGCCAGTAGTGAAGGGTATGAACACTGGAGGTGATGGGTGGAGTGCCAGTCAAGCAGATTGCAATGTTCTAGATGGTGTCGAGACTCTTAAGTCTTTTTGGATCTGCACCAATCTAGGCAAGTGGGCAGTATTCCAGCACATGCCTTACTTGTTCCTTGTAGATTGTGGACAGGCATTGGGTAGGCAAGAATTGAGTTCCTCACTGCAGAATTTCTAACTTCTGACCTGCTCCTGTAGCCACAGTATTTATAATATGGCAAATCCATTTCAGTTTCTGTTCAGTAGTAACTCTGAGGAGGTTGATGGTGGGGGATTGCATTTGAATATCAGTCTAAGATAGTTAGATTCATGGCCTGTCACTTGGATGGTGTGAATACTATTTGTCACTTATCACCCAAATCTGGACATTGTCCTGGTCTGACTGCAAATAGCCACAGATTGCTTTTGTTTCTGAGGAGTTGCCATTGGTCCTGAAAATTGTGCAATTATCAACAACATCTCCACTTTTGAATTTATGATGGATAGAAGGTCACTTAGGGTGCAGGTGAGGATGGTTGGGCCTAGGACACTACCTTGAGGAACTCTTTGTCCTTGGGCATAGATGGTTGACTTTCAGCAAGGACAACAATCTTCCTCTGTGCTCTGTATGGCTTGAACCAGTCAACAGTATTCCCCCAATCCCTATTGATTCTAGTTTTGCTAGGGCTCCATACTTTGAATGTCAAAGACAATCTTGCTAATCTCACATCTAAGGTTCAACTCTTTTGTCCATGCTTCAACCAATGCTGTAATGAGATCAGAAGCTGATTGCCCTTGGCAGAAGCCATACTCTTCATCAGTAAGCAGGTTATACCTTTCATAATGGCACTTGATAGCATTGTTAGTGACCCAATCCATCAATTTGCTAATGATCAAATGTAGACAGACCGGGTTTTAATTAGCTAATTCAATTGGATGTGTCCTGCTTTTTGTGGATGGGATATGCCTGGGCAGTTTTCCACCTTGTTATGTAAATGCTTGTGGATACAGGTTTAAAACTATTTTGTTTATTGAACTATTACTTTTCAAAACAGTACCTTCATCGTCTGTATCATTTTCGAGGTCATCCAGAGTTGGTGCATTAGGCAAGCTGTAAACAGATGTTGTGCCGAGTCGACAAAGTGTTGAAATACTATTGATTACCATTGTTCCCAACTGCATGTTATTGCCTAACACAGAAATACTATTTTATTGGTGAGATAAATAAAAAAAACAATAAAGAACATTTCTGTCTTATAACACTTGGTTCAACATAACTTCACGTCTTTAGTAGCATTAGATTTATGATCTTATTACTTGAACAACTACAGAAAGATGAGATAACTAGATTCTTTCATTGAAGCTTCTTCACGTTCAAAAATTAATAGTTGCAACAAAATTGGGATTCAATTTTGGTTTTGCTGATATGCAAATACCACTGAAGCTTCATTTTAAATTGATGATGGAATCAAGATAATTAAAGCTACCGAATGCATTTTTTCCCTAGTAACTTATCCTTCAATGTGCATGAATACCAGTAGATCATTTTTGGACATACAATTAAAATTCTGGTAGGCTGCAGAGGGTTATTGTCAGTTTTAATAATAACTGATTGTTTCCAAACAGAATTGTATAAGCGGGTGGTCGCTTTCTGGATCTTACATGTTTGATTTTCTTTCTAAAATTAAACCACAAGTGATAATTTGCTACCCTATTACCTTTATGTTATTCTTTTCAAAATCTACATTATGAAACACTTAGATTAAAAGAAAATCTACCAATGGAACCTTAATGCAGACTTCATACAGAGGCTTTCATTTAATCAGTACATTCCACAGCACACTGCAGCTAATTAATTTTAAAATGTCATTTCTGTTATTTGACAGACACATTGAGCAACAAACAAATTCCAATGACATGAATTATGCTGTTTTGGTGATGATGGGATAAGGAATGAATTTTGCTCAAGGCGTCAGGAAAAATCAATTCCTGGAGAACTTTATAAATACACTTAACAAGCATATGGGACGTTGGTTCAAAATTTTCAACAAGGTCAGAATGCATGATGATAAAAAGAGAAATTAATTATTTCTGTACACTGTGCTAATCTAACCCTTTTTCATCAGAATACTAGAATCCCACTTGCAATTCTGGGTGATTGACCAATACAAATATAAAAGAATTTGTTCACATAAATGCACAATAGAAGTTCAGTGGTCTTACCATCAAATTTTATACTCCAGGTCATCAAAAAGCCATCAGTCATTTGGTAAAAGTTCCTCAGATCCTCTGGGAGTAAGCAGCAATTCTTCTGCAAACATAAATAGCAGAAAGTTTCAGAGACTATATAAATGTAGGTGTCAATTCAGCTGCTTTGGTCAATTTCCTTCCTTCTAGGTCCTCAAGGTCAAGTTATCCCCAAGGTTCCTGAATTCTAGTCCTGAACTCAGACCTTTATCTCTACAATTTCATTTTATGCTCTTTCTGAGCTCATTCTGTCTATGAATACATATCCTGCTACCTTGACCTTAAATGTTTGACTAAGCTGCTGAGCACACAACTTCTTTTGTTGGCCCATATGGTTGCTCCAAATTTTAATGATTCCCTTTCTTTGGGGATTTTTCCCTTCAAATCTTTCATCATTAACCCTCTCCTCAGAAAATCTACTCATGATTCCTCTGCCCTCGTAGACTACTACAGCAAACTGCCTTTTCACTCTGAACAAATCTGTGTCCATATTTACTGAAACTCCAAGTTTAAATCCTCTAATCATGTATTTTACAGCATTGAAATAGCTCTTATTAAAGTCAAAATCACATTGGGGGAATCTTATAGAGCATGAATGACATGGGCTATAGTGAGAAATGTGACAGAATTGTGCAACACGTGTGATGAGGCCTACCTTGATGTCAGCTGCAATTGGGTGCATCTTTTAGCTAAATTTCAGGTGTCGAGATGAAATCCTTGCTAGGGGCGGCAAGCTGCCTATTAATGGGGATTATTGTTTATTAGCGGCCTTAGTAACTGCCCATCCCACCTCATTAAACATGCAACTTCCTATCCTACTACCCGCTATAAACAAAATATACACAAAGATTCTCAACATGGAAGACAAAGTGGGTACTTGACATTAGCTCGTTGCTGCTTCTAAAGAACCTCCATGTTCCCCACCCACAAAACAGCATCTCAGGGCATGATCCAAGAGCACCTGTACATGCAATCCTCATTTGTCAACTTCACAGGATTCTTATGGCACCTGTCGATCCACTTGCAGGGCGCTTAGAAAGTACAGACCTGCGCTGTGGGGCACACCAGCAATTATCATTGAAAGGTTACTGCAGGGACACTTTGTGCACAGGGACAGACATCCAGCTCATGGATGGTGCATCTCAGGGCTGCTTGCTTACTCTCTCAGCATTTGATTGCTTAGTGTCTACCTGCAAGTTTGTAGCATCCATGCTTTGCAGTGTCAATGTTATTAGCATCTTGGGTCTGTCATCCGTTTGGGCTCGTCACAGTCAGGGATATGTCTGATTACAGTCCAGGGAGTGAGCAGTCCTGATAGGGGTCATCGCAAGCAGTAAAAGGGAATTACATACCATAGCTGCAATTACAAAATAGCTGAGACAACACCCTGGATGGATGGAATCAGCATCATCAGTTTGATGGGTGAAAATGTGAATCCACATCTGCTAAATCTAGGACATTGAAGCATCAAATAGACAAAGAATGTGTTGGCAAATTAGCTGCAGAATTGCAATCATTTCATCGTGTATTTGCAGTGCAAATAGAGTGAAAGTGCTTAAGGTTCAAATGCTGGTCAAGGTGATTTGCATCTTGCACTAATCCTTGCAAATTGAACATGGTCAACATTGGCAAAAAGCAGCAAGGACTTCTTTAACCATGATGTTGTGGCAAAACAGTTCTATGTTTGGTAGATACAGCAGTATTCTCTACCATATAAAAATTGTATTGATAACAGTTACAAGTGCTTTATTAAAAGTGAAAAAAGCCACAAGGCTAAGCAACCATCAATACAATTGTTTCTTTGACAGAATGCTTAGATTTGTTAGTGCACTGATGTCTTCTATTTATTATGGATATTTCCTCTGAAGTTTAGTATACTAAGTGACAATTAATTATCAACTACATTCTTTGTTTAGTGAACGTAAATGCATTTACCAATATAATCAACATGATGCTTTGTTTTGATGGGAACAGAATACTGGAGCTTCAAAGCATAATCTAACATAATCCCTTCTAATATTAAATCAAGAGTATACAATTTAGATCCAAAGTTAAAATGTGAGATTGCTCACCTGCTCCCATGAGATAATTGTATGTCGCTCTGCTGGTTCCTTTTCTACATATCTAACTTCTGTCACACCTGGACGACTTTCTGAAAATGTCAAAAGTATTGGTAAATGGGTTTTGTAGACACCTATATTCGGTATTTTCCAATTGATTTGTGCATTCTGCAAAGATATGGGAAAAAGGCAGGAGACTGGCACTAGGTAACAGAATTGGCGCAGGCATGGTGGCCTGACTGACCCACCTTCTGCTCTGTAACAATTGTGACTGCGTTAACATTTCAGATCAATGGTCTTTCATCAGAACATCCGATGAAGAGCTGTAGTGCAAACAACGTGACATTCTTGTCATAAAAACAGAAGTTGCTGGAAAAACTCAGCAGGTCTAGCAGCATCTGTGAAGAAAAAAAATCAGTTAACATTTCATGACCCTTCCTCAGAACTGGACCCAAAACGTTAACTCTGATTTTTTTTTCCACAGATGCTGCTAGACCTGCTGAGCTTTTCCAGCAAACTTCTGTTTTTATTCCTGATTTACAGCACCCACAGTTTTTTGGTTTTTATGACATTCATATTACTGGAAACAGCAAAACTCTCCCATGCAGACATTTCAATACAGCTTCTGTTCAAAAGTACAAAGAACAAAGAAGTGTTCAACACAGGAAGAGGCCCTTTGGTCCACCAAGACTGCACCGACACAGGATTCCTTTCTAAATTAAAACATTTTGCCTCCACATCCCTCTATTTCATGCCTATTTATGTATCTGTCAACATGCCTCTCAATATTGTTATTGTATCTGCCTCCACCACCTCCTCTGGCAGCATATTCCAGGAACTTATCACCCGCTGTGTAAAAAACTCACCTTTCACATCTCCTTTAAACTTACTCCCTTTTATCTTAAACCTATGTCCCCCTAGTAATTGACACTTCTACCCTGGGAAAAAGACTCCAACTATCCATTCTACCCTTGCCTCTTACAATTTTGTAAACTTCTATTAGGTCGCCCCCTCATCCTTTAATGTTCGAGTGAAAACAAACCAAGTTTGTCCAATCTCTCCTCATAGCTAATATCCTCCAAAACAGGCAACATCCTGGTAAGAGATAGTAGGAACTGCAGATGCTGGAGAATCTGAGATAACAAGGTGTAGAGCTGGATGAACACAGCAGGCCAAGCAGCATCAGAGGAGCAGGACAGCTGTCGTTTTGGGTCTAGGCCCTTCTTCAGAAACGTCAGCTTTCCTGCTCGGCCTGCTGTGTTCATCCAGCTCTACACCTTGTTATCTAACATCCTGGTAAACTGTTTCTGTACACTCTCCAAAGCCTCAACTTCCTTCTGCTAGTCTGGCGACCAGAATTTTACACAATATTCCAAACGTGGCCTAACTAAAGTTCTACGCAGCTGCAACATGGCCTGCCAATTTTTATACTTTATGCTCCTGCTTGCCAAACACATTTCATGGCTCCTTTTAGCCAACCTTAATCCTTGTTTGCGTTCTTTCCTGCTATCTTTCGATTCATCAAGGGCTCTGTCTGTCTTCAGTTTCCTAAAGCTTACAAACGCTGCTTTTTTTCTAAACAATTATACAGTGCAAAACTTTCTTTTTAACTAAGCTCCCAATTTCTCGTCATCCAAGGTTCCCATATCTTGCCATCCTTATCCTTTATCTTCACAGTATCAGGCTGGTGCTGAACTCTGATCAACTGGCATTTAAAAGAGCGCCACACACCAGATATGGATTTACCCTGAATCTACATTCTACATTCCCCTGCTCCTGCCTAAGATGGTCATAGTTAGTCTTCCCCCAGTTTAATACTTTCACATAAGGTCTACTCCTATCCTTATCCATAAGTAACTTAAAACTTAAGGAATTATGATACCGTTCCTGAAAATGTTTCCCCACTGTAACTTCAATCACCTGGCCAGGCTTGGACTATTTACATATTGTTTCAAAAAAGCAGTCCTGGACACACCTAACAAATTCCACCCCCATTTAATCCCCTGGCCCTAAGAGAGTCCTAGTAAATATAGGGGAAGTTAAAATCACCCACCACAACAATCCTGTTGATTTTACATTTTTCCATAATCTGTCCACATATCTATTCCTCTATCACCCACTGGCCATTGGGAGGCCTGTAGTACAATCCCATCAAAGTGGCTGCACCCTTCCCAATGTTAACAAAACTTCTACCTTTTGTTTTATATGAATACTGTCATAACGATATAAAATACTGACTATTGATCTTTGAATCCCATCACTAGACTTAAAATGGCCAAAGAGGCCACCTGACCATACAGGTTAGTCAAGTTTCATGAAAATGATTTAGAATAGACCAAAGACAATCTGAGCTGGAATCAACATTTCCCAAAGGCAATGATGTCAATCAACCAGGATTCCTTGGGAAGTGAGAAAAGACCCTTGTGTCCTTTATATTTACACCACTGAGAATCTTCACACGTTGGAGATGAAACTTCATTTGCAATTATCAAGCTTGAAATCACGGCCTACAACTGCCAATTTCCAGATGCCATCCTACAACTCATCTCTTCATTCTCAATGACAACGACATCACCTTCCACAAGACACAGGAGCAGAAATTGGGCCATTTGGCCCATTGAGTCTGCTCTGCTATTCAATCATTGTTGATATGTTTCTCAACCCCATTCTCTTGCTTTCTCCCTAAAACCTTTGATCTCCTTGACAATCTAGAACCTATTCATCTCTGTCTTAAGTATACTCAATGACCTGGTCTCCACAGCCTCCTGTGGCAATGAATTCCACAGATTCACCACTTTTTGGCTGAAGAAGTTTCTCCTCATCTCTGTTTGAAAGGGTCTTCCCTTTACTCTAAAGCTGTGCCCTCGGGTTCTAGTCTCTCCTGCTAATGGAGACATCCTCCCAACATCTGCTCTGTCCAGGTCGTTCCGTATTCTATAAGTTTCAATTAGATCTCCCCTCATCTTTCTAAATTCCATTGAGTACAGAAACAGAGTCCTCAAATCTTCCTCATTTGTTAAGCCTTTCATTATTGGGATCATTCTTGTGAACCTCCTCTGAACCCGCTCCACAGCCAGTACATCCTTGCTGAGGTATGGGGCTCATAATTGCTCACAATACTCTAAATGTGGCCTGACCAGAGCCTTATAAAGCCTCAGAAGTACATCCCTGCTTTTATATTCTAGACCTCTCGAAATAAATGCCAACATTACATATGCCTTCCTAACTACTGACTCAACCTTCAAGTTTACCTCAAAACAATCCTGGGCTAAGACTCCCAAGTCCCTCTGCACTACAGATTTCTGAATTTTCTCCCCATTTAAAAAATAGTCTGTGCCGCTATTCTTCCTACCAAAGTGCATGACCTCACACTTTCCCACGGTGTACTCCATCTGCCACTTCTTTGTCCATCTCCTACTTCTTTGTCCATCTCCTAACCTGTCTAAATACATCTGCAACCTCCCAGTTTCCTCAATACTTATCTTTGTATCATCTGCAAGCTTAGCTAGAATGTCCTCAGTTCCTTCATTTAGATGAATGTATAAAGTGAAAAGTTGTAGTCTCAACACTGACCCTTGCGGAAGACCACTTGCCACCAGCTGCCATCCTAAGAAGGATCCTTTCATCCCCACTCTCTGCTTTCTGCCAGACAGCCAATCTTCTATCCATGCTAGTACCTTGCCTGTAACACCATGGGCCCTTACCTTACTCAGGAGCCTCCTGTGCGGCACCTTGTCAAAGGCCTTCTGGAAGTCCAAGTAGGTAACATCCATTGGCTCTCCTTGGTTTAACCTGCTCATTACCTCCTCAAAGAATTCTAACAGATTTGTCAGACATGACCTCCCCTTGATGAAACCATGCTGACTTTGCCTTATTTTACCATGCACTTCCAAGTATTCAGAAATCTCATCCTTCACAATGGTCCCCATAATCTTCTCAACGACTGAGGTTGGGCTAATCAGCCTGTAATTTCCCGTCTTTTGCCTTACTCCCTTTTTAAAGAAGGGGGTCACATTAGCAATTTTCCAGCTGTGTCAGACCCTCACTTACTCTAGTGATTCTTGGAACACCTTCACTATCTCTTCAGCTATCTCCTTCAGAACTCTCGAGAGTGGTCCATCTGGTCCAGATGATTTATCCACCTTCAGACCTTTCAGTTTTTCTAGCATCTTCTCCTTGGTGATGGCCACCATACTCACCTCTGTCCCGCTGACTCTCTTGAACTTTTGGGATGTTACTCATGTCTTCCACCTTGAAGACTGACACAAAGTACTTGTTCAGATCCTCTGCCATTTCTTTGTTCCCCATTACTACTTCTCCAGCGTCATTTTCTAGTGGCCCAATTCCACTTTTGCCTCAATTTTGCCTTTTATAAATCTAAAGAAAGTCTTGCAATCTTCTTCAATATTACTGGCTAGTTTACCCTCATATTGAATCTTCTCCCTCCTTATCCCTTTATTCATTTTTGACAAACAGTTCTTCATTCAGACACGCGGAACAGAGTGCGACGTTGGGGACCAAATTTTCACCCCAATACGCCAACATTTTCATGCACAAGTTTGAGCAAGACTTCTTTGCTGCACAGGACCTCCAACCAATGCTATACACCAGATACATCAATGGCCTTTTTTTCCTCTGGACACATGGCGAGGAATCACTGAAACCATTACACAAAGACATTAATAAGTTTCATCCCACCAGACTTACCATGGACTACTCTTCAGAATCAGTCTCATTCTTGGACACATGCATCTCCATCAAGGACGGACACCTCAGTACCTCACACTACCGCAAGCCCACGGATAACCTCATGATGCTACGCTTCTCTAGCTTCCACCCTAAACATGTTAAAGAAGCTATCCCCTACGGACAAGCCCTGTGTATACACAGGACCTGCACAGATGAGGAAAAACGCGACGGACACCTAAAGATGCTGAAAGTGGCTCTCATAAGGATGGGATACGATGCCAGGTCCGATGTGCCACAGTGAAAAACTACAATGACCTCCTCAGAGGACAGACAGAGGAGATGACCAATAAAGTACACTTTGTCATCCAGTACTTCCTTGGCGCGGAGAAATGACGCCATGTTC